TTTGACAAAAATTATAATAGCATATTAAAGAATAATCTGCAAAGTTTACGTCTTGATCACTGTAATGAAGAAGAAGCGGATGCTATACACAAGCTTTGTTTAGAATTTAGAGACATTTTTCACTGCGAAAATATCCCATTAAGCTTCACTAACAAAATTAAACACAAAGTTAGGTTGACCGATGATACCCCCATCTTTACAAAAAGTTATCGTTATCCAGAAATTCATAGAAATGAAGTTAAACATCAAATTTCGAAAATGCTACAGCAAGACATTATTCAAGCTTCAACATCACCCTTTTCATCCCCTATATGGATAGTACCAAAAAAAGAAGATGCTTCAGGCAAAAAGAAGTGGCGAATTGTAATAGATTATAGAAAACTTAATGAACGTACAGTCGACGATAAATACCCTCTTCCAAACATAAATGATATTTTAGACAAACTCGGTCGAAGTCAATATTTTACGACACTTGATCTGGGTAGTGGATTCCATCAGATTGAAATGGAACCAGAAGATATTCCAAAAACAGCTTTTTCAACTGAAAATGGTCATTGGGAATTTAAAAGAATGCCTTTTGGTATGAAAAATTCTCCAAGTACTTTCCAACGCGTCATGGATAACATCCTGCGTGGTCTCCAAAATGAAATATGTCTCGTCTATCTAGACGACGTTGTAGAGAGAGAATCAAATTTTAAAATCCAAATGGACAAATCGGAATTTTTAAGGAAAGAGGTTCAATATTTAGGACATGTCATTACCCCAGAGGGAGTAAAACCAAACCCAGATAAAGTTTCGGCAGTAAAAGACTTTCCTATTCCTAACAATCAAAAAGAGATCAAATCATTATTAGGTCTCGTAGGTTACTATCGCAGATTTATTAAGGACTTCGCAAAAATTACCCGTCCAATGACACTTTGTCTTAAGAAAGAAGCTAAAGTCGTCCACACACCCGAATTTATAAAATCTTTCGAACATTGTAAAGATCTCCTAGTAAATGCACCCATACTCTCATACCCCGATTTTGAAAAATCTTTCATTGTCACTACCGATGCCTCGAATCAAGCTGTAGGTTGTGTTTTATCTCAAGGTATCATTCCTAATGATAAACCCGTCGCTTATGCTAGTCGCACTCTAAACGAAACTGAAACTCGATATACTACTACCGAAAAAGAACTTTTGGCTATTGTATATGCTTGCAAACAATTTAGGCCTTACATATTTGGACGTAAATTTTATATATATACAGATCATCGCCCTCTAGTTTGGTAGATGAATGCTAAAGATGTTAATAGCAGACTTGTACGTTGGCGACTCAAATTAATGGACTATCAATATGAAATCATATATAAAAAAGGAAAATGTAATACTAATGCCGATGCATTGTCACGTATTCATGTAAATGCAGTAGAATCAGCTAGTGTCATAAATAACCCAGGTGACATTGATCAGGATATTCAAGATTATTTATATCAGTTATTTGCCAATAAACAATCTCTCCCAGATTTAGAAGAAGATACCTTAGAAAAATACACATTTTACAAGATGTTCAAGTAGTTCCACCGAATAACATACAAAATAGTGTATCGCATGAATCTCCTAAAGACAGCGAAACCGAGACAGCCCACAATTGTAACGCAGAAAATAATTTCAATGATGATATTCCTATACTAGACGAAATAATCAATAATAAGATAACCCAAGTTATCGTTTCTAAAAATCCACACAATCAAACAGATGTCAAACAAGAAACCTTTGATAATCATAAAATTCTTTATGTGAAAATTCCAAATTCTGCTTCAGCCATAAATGAATTTCTTAGAGAATACACATCCAATGACAGAACATTTTATCTGTACTTCCATGAGGATTCACTTTATACTATGTTTAATAGAGTCTTCATAGATAATTTCGATAGCAATGAATTAAAATTAGTTAAATGTACAAAATTAATCAATACTGTCAAAGAAAAAGATGAGCAACTTATGCTGATTAAATTTCAACATGAAGGCAAGAGTAATCACAGAGGAATCAATGAAACATTAGAAAAACTCAAACGAAATTATTATTGGCCCCGCATGAAGTCCGATATCACACATTTTATTAACGGTTGTGTAATTTGCCAAAAAGCCAAATATTCTAGAAATCCCCCATATATTCCACTGGTATTGACAGAAAGCATAGGAAAACCCTTCCAATTATTACATACTGATGAAATTACATTCAATAGTCAACATTTTCTGACGATTATTGATGCTTTTTCCAAATTAGGACAAGCAGTTCCAATCCAAGCAAAGACCTCTGTCGAAATTTGTAGAGCATTCTTACATTATTTTTCATATTATGGTCTACCTGAGCGTATTACTCTTGATAATGGTACAGAATTTAAAAATGTGGGGGAACTCTTGAAATGTAATAAAATCGATGTGCATTTTACTACACCTTTACATCACGAATCAAATTCACCAATAGAAAGATTCCATTCATCACTAATTGAGCATCTCAGAATACTTTTACAAAAATTTCCAAAAGAAATGACCACTAACCTTATCAATTACGCTTTAATAGCATTACATTCTGCTACAAAATTCACGCCATTTGAATTGACTTTAGGGCACACTATTTCCAGAGATCCTTCGGACCTTATCGAAACTACTTTTTACTCTGACTATGCTTCAAATCATAAAGATAAAATGAAACATCTATACCAGCGTATTTCAAACGATTTGCAGGAAAATAAAGCCAAAGTACTCGAAACATTCATGGTAGCTCACAATATCAGTTCAAAGTAGGGCAAGTAGTCTATAAAGCCAATCGTAGAAGAAATAAAAAAGACAACAAATTTAAAGGTCCATTTGAGTTAGTAGAAATCTTAGAACATAACAAAGCAAAAATAAAAAATAAGTCCACAAATAAAATAGAAATAATACATATGAAGGAACTCAAAGTCCCTTCTATTTCAGGATCCTAGCCTGCAGCGGAAGATCGACAACAGAACTAGTATGTCCCAAATTCCACGACCTCAGCGACAATCCTGGCCTCCTTCCCTTAAAATTAGGAAACGCCCAGAATATTGCTGATTATTGGTCATTCATACAAATATTTGATATTTCCTATCTAGCTGAACAATTCTCAGAATTGCAAGTAATTTTTGGACAATTGAAAATGGAAATTGAAAATTCCACTTCCTATTTTACAGAAATAAAAAATTATTATAATCTAATATTATCATTAGAATCAAAGATTCATGATCAATTGTTACAGATAAATCCAGTTTATAATAGAAAACAGAAAAGAGGATTAATCAATGGGCTTGGTTCGATCATAAAAATTATAACAGGAAATTTAGATGAATCAGATGCGAAACGTTATGATCAAGCATTATTATCATTATCGAAAAATCAAGAGAGAATCAAAACAGGAACAAGTTACAATTATCAGTCAGGCTCTAGATGTTTTTGAGCAAACATCGAAAAATATTACAAGAAAACAATTAACTTTAGAATCACGTATCCTGCAATTTGAGAAATCTCTCATGGCTCTTCAGACAAAAGACTTACACTTAGAAAACGAACTTTTTATACAAATTGTAATTTCACAAATATTAACTTCATTTCGATATATCCACGATGTTTTAGAAAAATTAGAGGTTGCAATATATTTTGCAAAACTTAATACATTCCATAATTCTATATTGAAACCTCAAGACCTTCTAGTAGAAATAAAGCTTATCTCAGAACATTTACATGATGTCAAACCACCATTTGAACCTGCTTTAGAAAACATTTTGCTTTTCGAGAAAATATTAGAAATCAAAAGTTATAGTAAAGGCAATCAAGTTATTTTCATTCTGGAAATTCCTTTAGTAGAGGTCGATAGATATAATTATTATCACCTATACCCATTACCTACGACGACATCCAACCAATTTAAAGTCATATTTCCTTACTCAAACTACCTAATCCTAAATGAACACACTTATAGCCTTTTTGACAAAAACTGCAAAGAAATTCAGCCTGAGCAATATGTTTGCCACGAGAAGAACCCAGTAAAGCTAAGCAAAGGAAATCCATGTGAAGTTAAAATGTTACTGTATGAAAGGAATATTACTAACTGTTTTTAAATGCCGATACAAGTACAAGAAAAAGTAAAAAAGCTAGATGCAGAAAACTGGATGTTAGTTATTCCCAACAGAAAAATTGTCACATATAGGTGTGGTGAAAACCAAGACAAAATTCCACTTCGAGGAACATATCTACTAGAAAATTGCCAAAACTGCGTAGTCTATATGGGTTCAACTGTTATAAAAAGTCGCCGGAACCCAAAATCACAGTTTAAGTATATTGGACTACCAAGGCTAGTTTTTGAAGGATTCAAGAAAACGCAGACTGCCCATTTGGAACCTCTTCAACTAGAATCCATTAACTTCGAAGAAACGAACAACATTAAAGCCGCCCTTTGAACAAGCACAGACTTCAAGAAATCCCCGATAATCCAATTATTGATCTTCAATCAGTAAGCATCTGGACCATCTTACTGTATTCCCTAATTGCCATCATCTGTGGCTACCTCACTGTTAAATCTTACTTTAAAAGAAAACAAGCCGAAAAGAAGAAAGAAAATAGAAAAACCGAAATTATTGTTTGAAGCTAAGAACGATAAAGGTAGAAGATAAGTTATAGAAGATAAACGTTAAGGAGAAAGAAGATAGAAATTATCCAAGAAGAACGAAAACTTTCAAACTTCACCGTTGGTTCAGTTTCTACGGCGGGAGGAGTTACAGACACCAGATATGCATAATTGTAGAATTGCATTTCACATAGCTTGCACTTTTTACAGAGTTTATAAATATACCGTAATTTGCATTGTATTCAGTTCTAGCTATTTCTCGGTTCATTTCACATCAATTTTGTACGTTTTGAAAATAAAAGTTTTTTAAAAACTTATTTCGGAGTCGTACTTCCGTAAGTCGACAGATGTGCGAGGTATTTTGGGCAGAATATTTTGGAGAGGAAAATAGAGTACATTATTATTGATCCCGGGCGTTTCATACTTGACAAATCAGAAGTGGAATTATTCACGTGCCGTACAAGTTCTACAAGTGAGTGAGTCAAAATGTGGAAGACGAAAAGGCATAGTTCTTTTAGTTCATCCTCTAGCTCTCAGTCCAGTTCAAGTTCTTCGACGGACGATGGAAGGACACATCGTAGGCGAGTAAAACGTTTACGAAAAGAACTCAAATTAAAAAACCATTTGTTAGAGAAGCAACCTGTAAGTACTGTATACAGTAGTTTAAATATCGATGAATCGCTAATACCGGAGTTTAACCCCTCAAATAGACAAATGTATAGACTGGGTCAACAAGGTTGATCAGTTGCGTGAGTTATACCACTGGGATGACCAATTGACAATTAAATTAGCAACAAGCAGACTTCGTGGAAATGCTCGGAAATGGTATGATTCGTTAAACAATCACTGTACTCGATGGTGTAATATGAAAGTGATGCTTTTAGAAATATTCCCTCCGACTAGGAACTTCGGAAAATTGTTTAAAGAGGCAGCAAATTATGTGCATTTACCTAATCAAAAATTCAGTGATTATTGTTTTGAAAAACATGCAAAAATGACAAAATTAAATTTGCATATTAATGATGTAGATATTATAGATTGTATAATTGAAGGGATAAACAATGAAAATATATAAAGCTAGCAGCTAGAGCTGCGAATTTTCAATCGGTAGGTACGTTGGCTAACTATTTAGATATAAATAGGCAAAAACATATTGCTGCTAAACCGACTCCAGGCACGTCAAAAGTTAATCAAGAGGTGATAAAATTGGAAGGAAAGGATGGCAGTAAACGCAGAGTACTATCGTGTTATAATTGCAAAGGTCCACATATTGTAAAAAATTGTCCTAAGCCTATAATAACGTGTAAAAATTGTAAAAAGGTTGGCCATTATTCAGAGCAGTGTAGACTAAGCAAGAAAAATGAATGTAATCAGATTACGAAATCTGTAATTATGAACAGAAAGAATAATATGTCTTTAGTTACTGCTTATATAAACCAAAGTCCAGTTGAAAATTGTTTAATTGACACAGGTAGTTCTTGCACAATAATTAAAGAGTCTCTAGCAAAACGTTTAAAGATGCGGCTAACTAGAACAAATGAGTGTGTAGGACTACGATGTTTTATGGGTAATATGATATCTTGCGACGCAATCAGCAAAATCAATGTAAATATCGACAAATCAACCGGCGAAGTAAATGCGTTCGTTTTGGCGGATAAATACTTAACTTATGATGTGATTATTGGTTGCGATTATTTAAATCAGCCACATGTGTCATGCATAAAACCGGCGACACCTTGCGTTTTAAAAATGTTTCTACCGTGAGCGATATACAGGGTACTACGAAAATAATTGAGTATGATAAAATAAATTTTGGTAATATTTCTCAGGGAGAAAAGGACAACGTTTATAGTCTTTTAAAAGAGTATAGCGACACGATCGCATTTACTTTAAAGGATTTAGGAAAAACCAATTTAGTAGAAATGAGTATTAAATGTAAAACGGAGGAACCAGTCATTTATAACCCTTATCGCATGTCAATTCAAGAAAAAAATATTTTTAATGATTTGTTGCAAGAGTTACTCATTAATGGTATCGTACGTGAATCTAGCTCTCAGTATGCTAGTCCAGTAGTACTTGTTAAAAAGAAAACAGCTGCATCGGCAGGCGTTGCTGAAAACAAATGGGATACGTTTGTCAAACCGGTGCAATATGCGATGAACACAACTTTTAATGCTGCAATTGGAATGACTGCAATGGAGTTATTGGCTGGATTCAAGGGACATAGCCTATCCGAAGGCAATGTTTTGAGTGCAGTGAAACGAGAGCTAGAGCGGGGTGACTTGAAGGCACTTATGAAATCTGTTGAACACAGATTGTCTGTAGAGCAGAAAAAGCAGAAAGAGAGGTTTGACAAGACTAGGATACAAGCTAAAAAGTATCTAGTGTACCGTGTGCTGGTGCCAGCAGAAAATTGGTGCCGAAATATAAGGGACCTTTTAAAGTGACGAAGGTTCTCTATAACGATCGATACGAGGTGGTTGACCTGAGAGAAAACTACAAGAGATATAAGACAGTAGTTGCTGCAGATAAGATGAAACCATGGATCTTACTACGTGGTAGGTATAAAATGTTATATTGCTTAAAGAGGGTCCAAATATTAAAGTTTATCTGCTTTAATATCTGTTGGAACAAGGAGAAAAACTAATGATGTTTTGTTGTCTGTTGAGATAAGTAGGCCCAAACAATAAAAGCAGTTTATGATGTTTTGGTTGTCTGTTGAGATAAGTAGGCTCAAACAATAAAAGCAGTTTATGATGTTTTGGTTGTCTGTTGAGATAAGTAGGCTCAAACAATAAAAGCAGTTTATGATGTTTTGGTTGTCTGTTGAGATAAGTAGGCTCAAACAATAAAAGCAGTTTATGATGTTTTTGTTGTCTGTTGAGATGAGTAGGCTCAAACAATAAAAGCAGTTTATGATGTTTTGGTTGTCTGTTGAGATAAGTAGGCTCAAACAATAAAAGCAGTTTATGATGTTTTGATTGTCTGTTGAGATGAGTAGGCTCAAACAATAAAGGCAGTTTATGATATTTTCTTTGTCTGTTGAGATGAATAGGCTCAAACAATAAAAGCAGTTTATGATGTTTTGGTTATCTGTTGAGATAAGTAGGCTCAAACAATAAAAGCAGTTTATGATGTTTTGATTGTCTGTTGAGATGAGTAGGCTCAAACAATAAAAGCAGTTTATGATATTTTGTTGTCTGTTGAGATAAGTAGGCTCAAACAATAAAAGCAGCTTATGATGTTTTTGTTGTATGTTGAGATGAGTAGGCTCAAACAATAAAAGCAGTTTATGATGTTTTGGTTGTCCGTTGAGATGAGTAGGCTCAAACAATAAAAGCAGTTTATGATATTTTGTTGTCTGTTGAGATAAGTAGGCCCAAACAATAAAAGCAGTTTATGATGTTTTGGTTGTCTGTTGAGATAAGTAGGCTCAAACAATAAAAGCAGTTTATGATGTTTTGGTTGTCTGTTGAGATGAGTAGGCTCAAACAATAAAAGCAGTTTATGATGTTTTGGTTGTCTGTTGAGATAAGTAGGCTCAAACAATAAAAGCAGTTTATGATGTTTTGGTTGTCTGTTGAGATAAGTAGGCTCAAACAATAAAAGCAGTTTATGATGTTTTGGTTGTCTGTTGAGATGAGTAGGCCCAAACAATAAAAGCAGTTTATGATGTTTTGGTTGTCTGTTGAGATAAGTAGGCTCAAACAATAAAAGCAGTTTATGATGTTTTGGTTGTCTGTTGAGATAAGTAGGCTCAAACAATAAAAGCAGTTTATGATGTTTTGGTTGTCTGTTGAGATGAGTAGGCTCAAACAATAAAAGCAGTTTATGATGTTTTGGTTGTCTGTTGAGATGAGTAGGCTCAAACAATAAAAGCAGTTTATGATGTTTTGGTTGTCTGTTGAGATAAGTAGGCTCAAACAATAAAAGCAGTTTATGATGTTTTGGTTGTCTGTTGAGATAAGCAGGCTCAAACAATAAAAGCAGTTTATGATGTTTTGGTTGTCTGTTGAGATGAGTAGGCTCAAACAATAAAGCAGTTTATGATGTTTTTGTTGTCTGTTGAGATGAGTAGGCTCAAACAATAAAAGCAGTTTATGATGTTTTGGTTGTCTGTTGAGATAAGTAGGCTAAAACAATAAAAGCAGTTTATGATGTTTTGATTGTCTGTTGAGATGAGTAGGCTCAAACAATAAAGGCAGTTTATGATATTTTCTTTGTCTGTTGAGATGAATAGGCTCAAACAATAAAAGCAGTTTATGATGTTTTGGTTATCTGTTGAGATAAGTAGGCTCAAACAATAAAAGCAGTTTATGATGTTTTGGTTGTCTGTTGAGATGAGTAGGCTCAAACAATAAAAGCAGTTTATGATGTTTTGGTTGTCTGTTGAGATAAGTAGGCTCAAACAATAAAAGCAGTTTATGATGTTTTGGTTGTCTGTTGAGATGAGTAGGCTCAAACAATAAAAGCAGTTTATGATGTTTTGGTTATCTGTTGAGATAAGTAGGCTCAAACAATAAAAGCAGTTTATGATGTTTTGGTTGTCTGTTGAGATGAGTAGGCTCAAACAATAAAGGCAGTTTATGATATTTTCTTTGTCTGTTGAGATGAATAGGCTCAAACAATAAAAGCAGTTTATGATGTTTTGGTTGTCTGTTGAGATAAGCAGGCTCAAACAATAAAAGCAGTTTATGATGTTTTGGTTGTCTGTTGAGATGAGTAGGCTCAAACAATAAAAGCAGTTTATGATGTTTTGGTTGTCTGTTGAGATAAGTAGGCTCAAACAATAAAAGCAGTTTATGATGTTTTGGTTGTCTGTTGAGATAAGTAGGCTCAAACAATAAAAGCAGTTTATGATGTTTTTGTTGTCTGTTGAGATGAGTAGGCTCAAACAATAAAAGCAGTTTATGATGTTTTGATTGTCTGTTGAGATGAGTAGGCTCAAACAATAAAGGCAGTTTATGATGTTTTCTTTGTCTGTTGAGATGAATAGGCTCAAACAATAAAAGCAGTTTATGATGTTTTGGTTATCTGTTGAGATAAGTAGGCTCAAACAATAAAAGCAGTTTATGATATTTTGTTGTCTGTTGAGATAAGTAGGCCCAAACAATAAAAGCAGTTTATGATGTTTTGGTTGTCTGTTGAGATAAGTAGGCTCAAACAATAAAAGCAGTTTATGATGTTTTGGTTGTCTGTTGAGATAAGTAGGCTCAAACAATAAAAGCAGTTTATGATGTTTTCCTTGTCTGTTGAGATAAGTAGGCTCAAACAATAAAAGCAGTTTATGATGTTTTGGTTGTCTGTTGAGATGAGTAGGCTCAAACAATAAAAGCAGTTTATGATATTTTGTTGTCTGTTGAGATAAGTAGGCTCAAACAATAAAAGCAGTTTATGATGTTTTGGTTATCTGTTGAGATGAGTAGGCTCAAACAATAAAAGCAGTTTATGATGTTTTGATTGTCTGTTGAGATGAGTAGGCTCAAACAATAAAAGCAGTTTATGATGTTTTCTTTGTCTGTTGAGATGAATAGGCTCAAACAATAAAAGCAGTTTATGATGTTTTGGTTATCTGTTGAGATAAGTAGGCTCAAACAATAAAAGCAGTTTATGATATTTTGTTGTCTGTTGAGATAAGTAGG